TCAAAGGTGGGTGCATTATCATTGATATCTGTGATCTGCACTGTAACCGTATAAAATTCCATCGGATTCTCCAAAATGATCTGAAAATGTAGAGCACACGGCGTCGTCCGTCTGCACAGCGCCTCTCTGTCGATCCTTTCTTTAACGAGGAGGACTCCTCTTTCTCTGTTCAGCTCGACGTACTGGTCGCTGTCTCGGGGATAAATTCGAGCTTTACCTGATATTAAACGTTTGATTTGTAAACCCAAATCCTGTGCTATATTACCGACTAACGATCCTTTAGTCATTTCCTCCGGTATTGTATAGCTGACTTGTCCAGTTACCGAGCCAAAGGAAAGGAGAGCAAAACACAACAGCGCAGGCCCTTTCATTGTTCTACCCTAGTATTCTATCAGCGAGGCTCCACAATGCGAACATGCATCCAGGTGAGTATAAGAAGTTCCAAAGTCAGACGTCAGTCTTGTAGCTTTACAGTCCTCTGTACATCGAATAGTCTTAAATCGTCATATTTTTTATCTGAAATTCTGCGGATCGAGAATGCCTGCTCGTTCTCGTAATACCCCGTCCTCGTTATGCGGGCGTATATGGGAGGTACTCAGCTGCTACAACCCTGCTCCCAGCCGTCAAAACTCTGGTCAACAGCGGCCCTAAGAGTTCATAACAGAAAACTGCACAACAGCTCCATAAATTACACCGTTCAAAAGACTTGCTGTTAGCGAAGTGTAACAAGTAAGACTTAAATAATACAAGAAAGGAAGAGAGAGAGAGCGAGAGAGAGAGAAAGAGAGAGACAGAGAGAGCGGGAGAGAAACAACACAATCCACGTTGTAATCGCCGATTGCACACTACAACACAGTTTACGGTTCAAATGTATTTCTATTTTGTTCTTTTCCCCCCCTCCTTTTTAATCAAAACATCATTCAAAGCACCCTGTCAATCACTGCAAGAAGTACATTTTCACAAAAAACTACAAGAATAAACGTACGTTAAAATGAATAAGTACCTCACTAACAATATAATTGGGCATGGGAAGGACAAAAGAAAGTTTAATAATATCGCTGTTCGTGGTGCTGAAATGATGACGTGCCAATCGATGGGAATGATTTATAAAATGATTTACCGTGCATTCGTGAGGAGATAATGAATGTG